GTTGTTGGATGTTTTGTACTTATTCCATGTGCTAAACTCAGGTAGAATCTTTCCATTTGATACTAGTGCTTCTTCTTTGCATAAAAAAGGAATGGTCAGCAAACGTGCCACACTTAATTTTTTGAAAACCAATGTTACACTTGTGCTTAACAATCGTCACGTTACCCACAATATTAATGCAACAGTCTTCTCTTGTCCTTGTTTGTCGGTTATTAAGTAAATGATGCTGCATTTCGATCAACTTTCTCGCGGAATATATTAGGTCATTCCGAAAGTAATTTCGCTTTTTTCAAAGGGACGCCACATGTGACGGAACAAAGATTTCTAAGAGAGCTCGGTGGCATTCGATGCAGAATTTCTTCCCCTTTCTGAGGCTTATAACATTACTGCAGCACAGTCAATGAGCTTTTAAAAAATTACGAAAGTCTGTGATCCATGCTTTTTGAGATGCTCAAGTTTTTAAATTTTTCTAAATTTTTGCGTCAACCCTCCGATGAAGCTCAAGTAACGATTCGATAGAGCAAACCTTATGGAATACAGCAGTACTTTTGCCTCTTTCTCATATCTCACCGTAATTATTTAAAAGATTTTTCAACAAAACCATTGGATTTTGGCAGGCCCACATCGGCCACAATCGCATCAAACATCATGATTATTCGGAATTTGAGACTACCAAGATGGTACTATGAGTTAGCATTAATTTTGCAAAGCAAGTGAGGGTTTACGGATTCGAAATATCAAATTTCGTGTTTTTCGGGTACAGCCTGGGGCTCGCTAAAAAAAATGAGTTGAGATTTATCCATGGAAACTAAACGAATCGGAAACGAAAAACACCCGTTAGAAAGAGGAGAAAATGCTGCATCGAATACTGCGCGAGCTGCTCTTCTTTTGATGTTCTGCGAAGGTTTAGCTGCCCAAGTATGGAAATCGGTAGCATCAGTTAAAATTCTGCTAAAAATGTATGACAAGATGTGAAAAAGGGAAAAAAGCAGCTCTGTATTCTATAATGTTTACTCTATCGCAATTACTTGATGTTGTTACTTACTTAATTACTTATTGTTACTTGAATTCCTTCTGAAGATTGATATGAAAGCTTTAAAAAAATGTGAAACTTGACCATCCCAAAAAGCATGGATCGCAAATTTTGGTTATTTTCTGAAAGCTCATTGACTGTTTTGCAACAATTTCATAACCGTTAGGAAGAGAATGAAATTCTGCATCGAATGCTACCAAGATCTCTTAGAAGTTTTTGTTTCATCACATGTGGCGTCCGTTTGAAAAAAGCGAAATTACTTTCGGAATGACCTAATATTAGGTTGCCCCGAATGTTTTGTCCTTTTTTTTCATCGCTCACTAAAACTCACAGAACATCAATCCATGGATGACTTAGGTACCACTTAATTTAGAATTTTATCCTCTTTATTAAAGTTAGATTCGCTCTCTGTTCTACACTGTCTTTGCAGTGTTATCGCCATGGATTTTGAGCAGCTCATCAGTAACGCCATATCTTTCCTGAATTTCGAATATTTATCCTGATGTTTTCAAAGAGCCCTGGTAACTTTTACGTAGAGCAAACTCTTGGGTTTATTTTGCCCATTTTAGATTAATGGGCCACTTTTACCAAGTCCGTTATAATTATTTATTTAACAAATACCGCTTTTCGATTATGTTATCAAGTAAAAGTACCGAAAATTTCAAAAAGCTGCTTTTTTCAAGGCAAATCAACCTTGGTTATGTTGCATAGGTAATGACTAACAAGAATCATGTTTCATTTCGCAGAAGTTTGGCAGCTTCCGTATATTGGCTGTATTGCGTGTTTCATGGCCTGGTCAAAAATCGAGACCTCCCAAAAAATAATTTTTTAAGGGCTAAAAACAGCAGAATAGGAGAATCTAAAAATATTACATTGTAGTCCGAGAATTGATATATTCGATCATTGCTAAACTTCCCCGAAACTTTGGAATGAAATTTTTGAAAATTAGCCTAATTTTGAGCAGATAAAATTGACGGGTGGAAAATTTTGGCAATTATCAAGAAAGGCATACAAGATTATCTTTGGAAGATGTATCCATAAGAAAGGGAAAGAAAAGCTGTACCGAATGCATGTTGAAACTCATTCAGATCTTTATTGTGCATGGTTTTATAGTGGTTTGAAAAAAGGACGAAACTTTCGGGACAACCTAATATAATTATTCACAGACTGTCAGCTAAGGGTCGTGAAGACCAGTTCTCGAGATCTGCGTTCTCAGAGTTTTTCTTTAGAATACATGGCCTTACTACAACAAAGGACGTGTCTACCAATACGTTGAGTAAATTAGTATAAACTCGGAACATGGTATGGTAATTTGCTGTTATTAGGGTTGATGCACAATTCTTGCACCAAAAAATAGAAAAAAAAATTGTTTTAAAATGCTTAAACAAACTAATGAGTCTACAGATCATGCTCTTTGTCATGTATATCAAAAGCAGTAATTTATAGTACATTGTAGAAAATCAATATGAGAAAAAAGTCAATAAGCCAACTAAAAAGCTCGAAATTCATAACTGTTCGCAGAGAAATCCAATCAATTGGACCGAATCAAATGATAATTTGATTTTTCAAGTAAATCATTCAAATGCGATGATCAGAAAATTCGATTTTTTGAAAAGCTGAGACTTTGAATAATGTTCGATAATCGAATGTTCGGAAATTTTCATTCTCGAATATTATTTGAAAGTCGAATATTTGATAGTCATCAATTAGATCAATCGATTTCCATCGAATATACGAATACTCGATGGGCATGAAATATTCGAAAATTTGACAAGCATCGGATATTCAAAAATTCGATATCCATAACATTTAAGGGGTGTTCCAAAAGTATCTACACACTGTCTGATCAGTAATACTTCTCACAAAGCCCTTTGCTAACCTTTGGGTAACATCCTGAGGGATGGCCAGCTTACATATACAGCAAAAAGCGAGTCACCCATACTTTTCTCATTGTGGGATCACGGTAGGAACTTATAGCATAGAGAGCAACTGCGAAATAAAACATCGATAAGAATTTTCCGAAATAGATCCAAGAATTTGTGTAGCATAGTTTTATGGTATGCTGGTTCTACTATGCACGAGTTTCTCAGCTTTATGTGCAATCCCATTTTTGAAAGGCGTTGGAAAACAGCTGTTACAGTGTACTTGGCAAAAGCTGTGAAAAAAAGCATTACGGTTGAGTGCATTACAAAGATTGTCTCTAGAAGTCTAGTGTGATATTTTCGATTTCCTAAAGCCCGTTCACAGAAGTGCCTAGTGAATGGTGTGCTTAGTGATTCTGGACACTTACGAGTTTTCAACATAAAAAAATTCATAAATTCTGTAGATGAATAGCTGGTACAAGGAGATAGTGACTACCAAAGCCGCTTCGTCCTCCGTTTTTAGAAAATATATAGCATGCCTTAGATTCGTTCAATGTGCCTGGTGAAGAGTGTGCTTAACGATGATTTCTAGGAATTCTCGAATTTTTAACATGAAAAAGATTCATAACTTCTGCAGATGAATAGCTGGTGCAAGGAAATAGTCACCATCGGAGCCGCCTTGTCCTCCGCTTTCAGAAAATATGTAGCATGTGCATTTGCATGAGATCCGTCCAAAAAAGTGCCTGGGTGAAGGGTATGCCTACTGATTTCCGGAGATTTTCGAGTTTTTAACATGAAAAAATTCATAGCTTTTGCAGATGAACATCTTGTACACCCATATGGTCATCATTGGAAACGTCTCGTCCTTCGCTTTCAGAAAATGTATAGTTTGCTTGGGGTCCGTTAAAAAAAAGTGCCAGGTAAAGGGTGGGTGATACTCTTATAGTGGGAGTTCTCAAGTAGACGTTCTTTTGCAATGGTTAAAAAGCCTCCACCCGAGAACTCCCATTATAAGATTCAACCACCCTTCACGCGGCACTTTTTTGACGTGCTCCAAGCAACGTATATATTTTCTGAAAACGGAGAACGAGACGTTTCCAATGATGGCCATATGGGTGTACAAGTTCATCTGCAAAAGCTATGAATTTTTTCATGTTAAAGACTCGAAAATCTTCGGAAATCAGTAGGCATACCCTTCACTCAGGCACTTTTTTGAATGTTCCCAGACATGCTATATATTTTCTGAAAGCGGAGGACAAGGCGGCTCTGATGGTGGCTATTTCCGTGTACCAGCTACCATCTACAAAATTTATGAATTTCTTTATGTTGAAAACTTGTAAGTGCCTAGAAATCACTAGGCACACCTTTCACCAGGCACTTTTTTCAACAGAATCCAGGCAAACTCCTTTTTACTGAAAGCGGAGGACAAGATGGTTTTCGAACAATTCGCTTGCTGACGTTGCTGTTCCTCGACAGAAATTACGTTTAGAAAAATACAAGGTGCGATTCAGAAACATAATTGTGTGCTAATCCAACAGCACTTCGGCTCACGTTTCAGAAAAAAGACAACCAATGATGCAAGGATTGTAAATGATAAACTTTGACTAGAAATAATGAGGAACACCATCGCTTCATGCACGATTCAAAAGACTAGAAGGATGGAGTAGGATAAAAATTATAAGGGTCCTATATTTTTCAATTAGCTTTTATGCACGAAGTGTTCTCCAGAAAAAATATCATATGAAGCACCACAATGCATCCTGCTCATATTTCCTTGAGTAAGTGTACTTCATGCTAACCAGCGCGCCTCAACTTCAACCTCTTGTGCGTCTTCAGCATCTCCAGAATATTTTTGTTCTAAGTCCAGTCCCTTGTACAAGTCAAAACACCAGTGGGAAGTCGATAGCTTTCTAGTAAGAGTCAAAGGAGCCTACGTAGAATTTATCAAAAGCACCTTTGTTTTAAAATACTAAAAGCGACTCGTGAAGGTCCCTGACAGATCCTGGAGCGGATTTGGTGGGATAGGTGAGGCAACCCTACCTACTCTGAGCAGTTACCATCATATTATCGTGCTTGGAAAACGCCTGAATGCTCAGTTATTGCAGGTGCCGCGCAGTGTAGTGGAGGGGCATTGGATGCCGCAAACATCGAAACTCTTCTACAGGCAGCGAATCTAGGCCGCTCAGAGTTGGTGCGAAAAGGGTTGGAGATACAATTGTTGCCATTGTTGCCTGCTGCAAATGCTATGAATCAAGTTGTATGTCTGTAATTCTATAGAATTTATCATTAGGGAATAGAAGGCTTGTGAATTGTGCTTCAAAGTCGTTCTTGATGTGATCACGATTGACTTTGTAAAGTGCACCTTGAAGAGCTGACCTCAGATCTATCTTTCATATTTGCTAAACAAGTCCCTACAGCGAATTATGCGGGTTGAATGTCCAGATTTTTGCAAATTTCTAATGTCATACATCCAAGAGTTTGAGTAAAAACAGTTCTCAATGTTTCTAGTGGTTGCTTTTCATTCTTCTAGTCTGTACACACAACATCATACCGATTACGTCTTTCCAAGTTGGAAAGAGCGCATTAAGCACTGAAAACGTTCATATCCTCTACTAGGGAATCGTTCAGCAGATAAGTAAGGTAGATCTAAAAACTCTCACCGAAATGCTTTTACGAAATGCTATTCACACCACGCCGGTGTGGCTTGGAAATTTGGCCTTTGAATCTCTGCTGGAAACAACGTGAAAAGCAATTTATTTCAGTACTGGAGTTGCAACCTAGAAAAAAAAGCGCTAGCTTCTACCAAGAGATGTGATTCAACTGAAACGTAAGTCTCGACCTCGGTCCTGAAACCTACCATTGTTTGTAGAATAACACGTTGCAGCTAAAAAAGATTAAAATGCAAAAATAAATACGTGCAGAAAACGCATTAAAAAAACAAGCACCAAGCTTCCCTGTTTTCTCCCTCACTGTCCCGCTCATGCTAAATCCTCTCTAGAGCGTTTCATTTGCTAAAGTGTAGTATCTATTATTCAAATCTTATGTGATTTGCGTTCTGTTCGATGACCCTGTCCGATATTTTTGTATGTGTGCGAAAGCTAACCTGCCATCATTTTGCACAGCACTTCAATCTCGTCGATTCTAAACGGAAAAAAATAGAAAAATTCAAGAAACAAATCCGCGTTGAAGACCGAACACTTTTTTAAATCCACTTGTCTAAACCACTACTGCATTCTTTGATTGTTTTCTACAGCTACATCTCTCAAAGTAGAACTGTTGTCCTATGCAAAGAGGAATTATCATTGCATTTTTTGCTTTAAAAAAAAATGACTCGCTTCAACAAACAGCTGGCTAAAGAGTTCTCGGATTCTTGTTCGAATCCGTTGAGCGTCATTGGAATGAGGTGATTGGCTTTTCTAATAAACTTCGCGTAGTCGCTGATGTTGACGAACTAAATCAAACTCACCATATGGTTGTCACGCTTTACACCACAAAACTGGAATTTCAACCCAGAAAGGCTTTTGAGGCCGGCGACCGGCTGTACAACGATAACTTTTGCGCAGGAAACCGCTCAAAACTTCGAAACCTTATTTGTTTTTGACTATCCCGTGAAATCTAAATCAAATCTCATTATGTACAGTATACTGCTCACGCAGATTTTTCCTGAGTCCAAAGCCGCGATTCCACTAGGACATCTAAAGGTGTTTGCAAAACTGCATCACCATGTAGACAATGTAAAGCATGCATCAATAGCTCAAAATTCCTCGAACGCTAAAAATCGAGTTTGTGTCTATCCTATGGCAAAGTTGAAGCTTGTGTTGATATCAGCGATTTCCGAAATATATGGAAACCTCTATTTCCAATTTACCGAGGAGGCTCAGCGAATTCCATAACTTCACTTTGAAATGAACAAGAGTTTGACATCCTCGAACCAGCTGCTCGTTAAAAATCGAGCTTCAGCCTTTTGGAAGCAGAAATGCGGCAATGACTTCTCTTTGAATTAAAAACGACAAAGCCTGTTGTATTTCGTATGTCAAGACGCACCTGCACAGAAAATAATTTGGAAGCCAAAATATGCAATTTTGAAAAAAGCAAGTGGGATTCTAAAAGTGTCCAGCTTTCAATACGCGATTTTTTATCTCATATTCTGTTCGAAATCAATACAACTGAAAGCGGTTTTGAGAAATGATGGTAGGGTAGCAAGTGCAAAAAGTAAAAGAAGAGGTTCGTGAACACGAGTTTCTTTGGTTTTGAGACTAAACCTATGATAGTGTTCCATATGCTACTGAGCCTTAGATTAGCAGTCTATGTCGTAGATCTTCAGCGAGCATTTAGGAGAACATCTGCATTCAATGCTGTGTATGTTACGATGATGCTAGAGCAGCTACCCAATATATGCTTCTCGAATGGCGAGCAAGTCAAATGCTCCAAACAGTCCGGACAAGAGGAGCTGAATATGTATGTGAGCAACCGAAAAATTGAAAATTGCGGATTTCGCGTAAAATTCGGCTAAGGGAGTTATTTGACCTGCTGGTCGCAAAAAGGTGTTCATTTTGTATGGTGGGGCTTTATGAGGGTTACGGCAGGCATACGGTATGGGGTCAAAATCTTAAAATTCGTTGAATCTTTGCGTAAGAGGTTTATTCGACATAATGATCATGAATGCCATATCCATTCCTCACGAAACGCCATATGGTAGGTTTACGGTAGGAGTATGGTGCGGGGTCAGGACCTTAGAATCCGCTAAAACTCTGCATAGGTGGGTTATACGACAGTTGATCACGAATACCACACCTTTTTCCACAAAATCTTCTCCTTGTATGGTTACGGTAGGTACACGGGAAGGTGTCAAAGCCGCAGATTTGCCTGAAAGTTTGTGCATGGGTGTTTTCTGATGCGCTGATCATAAATCGCCATCATTTTGCTTATAAAGCTTTTCGTGGATTTTTGGAATCTTAATTGATCTGAAAAGCTGGAATGCTTACCCAAACGCTGCAAATTATCATAACTCCATAATAAGCAGCGAGCAAGTCTGATATTCGTGATCAGCATGTTTGAAAACCGCTCTAAAAAGGAAAGGATACTTGGTCGAAATGGGATTTCCGCATGAAATGTACAATAGCTTAAATAGCATAAAACGCTGATTTCAAATCTGCTTTCCTTATCTGAAGAGCGCTTCTGGGGGGGGGGGGAGTTCTTGGAAATTTTAGTGGTAAAAATTAAATGATTTGGCTAAGGGAAAACAGGTGTTGAGATCCAATGGCGCTTCAAAGGAGTAATGATTGACATGAGTTTATAAGTTAAGAGGTAATTACTGCATAAAGCGATAGTGATCATGGCCCCATTGACTCATAGGCTGCGGTTCTGAAAAATTTTATTGTATCCGCGCGTTCGAATATTTGCTTCAAAAAATTATCATAACTTCCCTCCCCGATGCGCTTTGCAGATACGAAAAGCAGATTCGAAATCAGCGTTTATGCTCCATAAGATAGTATACATTTCATATTGAAAGCCACCTCGACCAAGTATCCTTCCCTTGTAAGTAATGTTTTGAGCAAATTTGGAATTTTCCTCACCTATCGTACACCACCGTAACTCGACAAAACAGCTCTACCATACAAAATCCATATATCCAGCATGCCGTATCCCCCTCCAGACCAAATTCCATGCATATCTAACTTTGGCACCCTACCGCACACCTACGGTAGCCATACAGCGAGACATTTTCGTGCGAAAAAAGTGTGATATTTGTGATCAGCATGTCGAATAACCCCCCGCAATTTCTAGCGAATTCTGAGACTTTGACTCCATATCGCATGCCTACCGTAACCCCTCAAAAAGGCCCCACCATGCAAATGGAATATTTTCGTGATCAGCAGGTCAAATAACCCTGTAGGCGAATTTTCAGCGAAATCAGTGACTTTCAATTTTTGGGTTGCATTAAATGGAATAGCGCCTTTGTTTTGATTAGTGAAGACTAACCCGTTGCTCACTACAGGTTTATCGATCTGTTTCTCGATGCAAACGTGACTGAAATTGGATTGGCCTATTACTGCAATGATTTGGGCGAACGTTCCGTTTACTGGATTACCAACACAAGGTGACTGTGCACTACCCTTTTTAGAAAGACTAGAACTCGAGGCGGCCAATTCAGATAAATTGCATAACATCGCACTTGCCTTAGAACACTGTCAGAAAATGTTCAAATTTGCTACACGATGCTCCAGGAGGAGATGGGTCTTTTGCGTTAACATGTTCGCATTGAAGGCAGCGTCTGAGCAAAATTTCGAATACCAGGTTTCGTTTCTGGTCCGTTCGACGTCTCTGATTGTAAATCCGAACTGAAAAAGCGTAATATCTCCGAAAGCCCTTTTTCGGAACCCATTTTTGAAAATCATGGATGAGTTCCAACGCTAATAAGTTGCGGTGTAACGCGAAAACATGTATCACAGACAGGATACCTTGCAGATGGACGTGAAAGTGGCGCGCTAACCTTCAAGCTTGTCCGTACAGATGTAGGGGAGCGGCGCCTAGCCCACCCACCTGAATTGCAGAGTTCACATTGTCGGAGCGGACTCGCTGTTTTGGCTTAGTTGAAGAGCCTCTACCAAACTGTGTCAACACTACTTCAATTTTGTCCGGACACTGCCTTTAATGCACGCATGCATGTACACCTCGCTTGGGAGAGGAGGGGTTAAGTTGGCTACTGAAGACGAAGTGCATACCACAGGGCGCATCTTGAAACGCTGCCTACAAATTTGCTTTCCTTTTTTGCGGAACAATCCGAAAGAAATTATGAGTCCCGATTTTAGATTCAAAGGTCCAAATTTGTCAACTCTTAAATGGTATAAATTAGCTGAAAGTTGTACCGAAACATATAAAAGTGGGTGATTGATTTTTCAAGTATGTTGACACAACCACTAAAAAATCCGCATACGTGTTTTTTAATTTTATACCACATAGGGCACACTTTCTTTTGGATTGCTCAGGAAAAAGGAAATCAGATTTGGATTTAGCGTAAGATGCGTCTAGTGATATATATTTCGTCTGCAAGCCAACCTAAGTTATATTCTTCCTACATAGAGATGAGACGCGTCAATCTCCTGGAATAGATAATGTAATTTTTTTGAAGGTTTATACCCGATACCAGAGCATGGATGCCAGTAATTTGCCGTACACACTGAGATTTTCATTGTTTTTTTTATGATCCTTTGCAAAATCGACAAGGGATCAACTTGGGTTCAAACGTCCATTTTGATTTCAAAAGAGTCCTATAGAATCCATCATGGCACTGCTACTTTTCGACAGGACAAATGGAATGTGAAGATTGTGAGTTTTTCGATAAACCCCAGCTCACAGTCATCGAAGACTTCAACCTGGGCACAGTACACTTAATTCTCTTATTTTCAATGCCGGATTCTCGTAAGAATTTACGATTCTCATAGTGTTCATGGGAAGAAGACGACTACAAAAACAAGAGGTCGACCCTGCGGAGCAGGAAATGGACGTGTTGTCCGCGCTGGAGTTGACGTGGTTGTTGCCGCGCGACCTCTCGATCCGCCGCAACGCGGCAGCGCGGCAATCCACCAAGTAGTGGGCGCCCCCCATCCTGCGGACCCTTTAAGAGGACGCACAGACCGGTGACCTGACACTCATCATGCTCAGTTTACAGGATATGTAAACATTCATTGAGCTCTGTTATCAAGGTATGTAAACCTTCATTAGACAGAAAGACAAAGAAGAATACGCATATCTAGAGCAGCTACCACGCTCCCTTCTCATACGGGAAGGATACTTGGTGAACGTGGCTTTGTATTGAGACACATATCACCGAAGCTTTGAGACGCTGATTACAAATTTGCTTTCACTACCTGTTAATCACCTGTCTGAGTTGAGTTATGAGTTTTATCCGCAGAATTTTTGCCCGGTAAAGCGTTGTTAGAACCACTGATATCGAGCTTTTGGGGGTAAACGCCATTGAGACAGGTTATCCAGGTCTAAAGTAATTGCGTTTTCTTTAAAAGTCCCGAGGAGCGAAACAAGAAGTTTAAATTCAAACATGTTCATAATTCTTCTTATTAAGACAGTGCCAATTTTCATGGAAAAAACATTCATAACTAATGTCAGACAAGTGCTTAGCCGATAGCGAAAGCAGATTGAAATCAGCGTTTCAGGGCGCATCTAGCGATATGTGTCTCATTACAAACGGGTGGTTTTTCCGGAATTTTGGAATGATGGGTCCACAAAAATTTTGAATACGCGGTGGTGAAGCAGTAGCATTGCGTGCAAGAAGAAAACTCCTCTAAGCTTGTAAAACAGTATGGACAGAGAAGGTATCGAGCCCTTGTTCTTCTGCTTCAGAGGCTCCGCGCTTACCCACCACAATAATCGTCCACCATTCCTTAGGATTGTTTTTGATGGGTCTTGACATGACGCGGAAAGCAACACCTGTAAGTCTATGGACAAGTACTTTTATTCAGAGTACAAGACGCATTTGCTTTCTTTCCTTAAATAATTATGGGCGACCATTTCGAGAGGCACAGCGGTGCAGCTGAGCGGTTTGCTTGAGAAAATAAAAGAAGTACGTCTTGTACTCGTGTAATTAGGGTGAATGACATCAGCGTAAGGCGTTGCGATGGTAAGGAGATTATTCGGATCGGTGGACGAAGTTCGACCATCCTTTGTAATCTTCGTCTTCGTGATAGTCTGTCCCACTTGGGTTAGTGGTACGAAACAAGGGCGTGAAGTTGCGCACCCCAACGCCAAAGGTTTGCGCTGTAATGTACAATGCTGGCATTTCCCCTCAAAGTGAGAAGGATATGCATAGAGAACTGTGTCTTCGAAATATGAAACTTCCTGACGATGCAGACCTGCGCCATACTTATTTTGCTCGCCTTGAGTGAAATTTGTAACACTTTATGACATTGAGTACAGGCATTTTTTGATAATAAGTCGCTTATGATCGCCAGGCAAAAAAAGTTAGAGAAGTTGTAGGCAGGAACAGGGCTCGGCACAGGTGGCTCAGGAGGCAGGCTGGATGTCTTCTGGGGGTAGAACTCAAAGGAAGAGTTGTTCTTATAGGGTCGGGCGGAGCCCTAAAAACGTTTGTAACTGAGTCTGACCTATACGAAGAAATCGCCAATTGCTAAGTGCATAATCGGATTCCCAGCGGTAAAAAATTTATAGAACCTTCTAACCACGCAAGGAATTTGAAATTATTTTTTAATGTGAAATTAACCAGATAAAAAACCTTGAGGAGTTGGTTACACGCCTATCAATCCAATGAATTTTTTCAACCCTTCCCTTGCAAACACTACTTATGGGTAGAGGACATTAGGTCGCCGAAAGAGCTGGTACCACGCGGGCATGTGCAACCATACCACGCGCCTTCAAAGTTAATGCCCCACATTAGCTGCCCGCTTGGATAGAGCCTATCGGCGACCTAATGTCCTCTACCCACTACTTATCGTCGCGATGACCTGACCGCTTCACTTCTGGCGACAACGTGTATGTCAGTCACCATACTCAAATCAGCTGCCTTTTTAGTCAAAAGGCGTAAAAAAACTAGTGTTAAAGTGTTGCAAAGTTCAAAGAGAGGAATGTTGTCGCAAAGAGGAATAATACCTTGAGTAGGCGTGTAAGTTGAACAATATTTATTTGAACCTGAGTAAAAGATTTGGAGGATCCCTTACAACAAAAGTAAAAGCCTTAAAAATACAGCCAAAACAGCTTTGTGAGAATTTGATCCTACAATCGACCCTGAAATTTAGCGATTGATAATTTTTGACAAGTATTAAATTAGCAGCGAATATACAGATATTTCCATGACCTTTCCTTTTGTCAATGTAAATGGCGCACAAAAGTATTATTCAGACAACAGTGCGTCACCTCTGCTGCAGAGGCTCTGATTCTATTACTTAGGCTTTCTCGTGCTCTCCCAGTACTAGTCTCACAAGGGAAGAATAGTTGGTCGAAGTGGCGTTTCCGAATGAAATTTATACCATCTTATAGAGGGGAACGGAACTTAGGAACCCGAGCCCAATTAGCCCGACTCGAGAAGTGCCTGCAGGATACAGTCATGCTCGCTGCCTCCGACTGCTCTCTAAGACATGGCGACAATCTAAGCCCCGCCCCTCTGAGAGCCTGTTTGGAACCTAATCAAGGAATGCTGAAAATCTCAATTGAATTTCAGGGCTGGCTCTAAGCCAAAAACCTTCAAAGTTATCGTACGAAGGGGAAATTAGGCACAAACGAAAGAGAAAAACCGTGCCATCATCATGAAGTATCTACTGTGAAACTTATTGAACACAACATTCGTTTGGTTCAAAATTTTATATAAGTGTACTGAGAAATTATGTAACAAACCGTCAAGTTTTTCAAAAAAAATTTATTTGAGTGCTAAATCCGGGTAAAAGACTAGAATATCATTCGAGAAATAACGTTCAGAAAATTCTCAAGATTAATAGTTATTTAAGTGCTGACAGTCACGAAACGACAGTTTATAAAATTCTCAAAAATAAAAGTTTGTTTGTGTGCGGAAGTTTGTTCGAAAGACTAAAACATCATTCAAAAAACGACAGTTTAAGAACTTATCGGCAGTGACGATAAATGGTTTTCATCCTTTACGCTACTAATTATCAGGAAAATTTCGCCTCAAACTGTTATTGCACCTTCCCTTGCTGTAGTTCGAGGTCATTGCTTACTGCATATTAGCAGGATGTTCTTCGCACATCAGAATTGTCTCTCGTTCCAGACTCAGCAATATCATTAGTGAACTTTTTGAACTGTCATTTTTTGATTTTCTAGTTTTTTGCCCAAACTTCCGCAAACTCTCTTTTATTTTTGATAATTTTATAAACTGTCGTTTCGTGACTGTTTTCTAGTCTTTCGCCTAATTTCAGACTTAAATAACTATCAATCTCGAGAAGTTTTTGAGCTGTCATGTTTCGAATGATATTCCAGTCTTTTGCCCGGATTTAGCACTCAAATAAATTTTTTTTGAAAAACTTGACGGTTTGTTGAATAATTTCTCAGTGATTCAACACTTACAAAAAGTTTTGGACCAAAAAAATGTTGTGCTCAATCAGTTTCAATCATTAGATACTTTATGATGATGGCACGGTTTTTCTCTTTCGTGTGAGCCTAATTTCCCCTTCGTACGATCACTTTGAAGGTTTTTGGCTCAGAGCCAGCCCCGAAATTCAATTGAGATCTTCAGCATTCCCTGGCTAGGTTTCAAACAGGCTTTCGAGGGCGGGGCTTAGATTGTCGCCATGTCCTAGGGAGCAATCGGAGACAGCGAGCATAACTGTATCCTGCAGTCACTTCCCGAGTCGGGCTAATTAGGCTCAGGTTCCTAAGTTCCCTCACCCTCTTATAGAACATGGTATAGTGTGGACCCCGGCCAGGTTCTCATATGTACCTCCGCGCCGCGCACGCAACGCGCGTCGGGCTGCCTTCTAGGCGCCCTCATGTTTTCGTGTCCTTTCGAATTTCTAAACTTTTTTCTTCTTTCTTCTCCGTTCTTTGTGCTTCTACTCTGTATTTCAGGCAAGAAATGGCAGATAACCGCTGCAACACGCCGTCTTCCCTGTTATCCAACATGTCTGAGGAGCTAAACCAGGCAAGACTCGGTCTGCCGGTTGCTGCAGCGGGACCCTTGTCTTGAATGTTCCTTCTAGGTTAGCCCAAGTCCTGCCCGAGGACTCGCCGGGCCGCATACGTTGTCTAAACAACTTGAACTCGTGTTTAGCAAATTTATCGTGTATCTGTACCGTCACATTTGTGATCTTTTCTTCTACAATTATTTGAAATATGGAGACAAAAAACAAGAGGTGCTTGTTCAGACAATGTATGCGAGTACGGTCTCGAATTCCTATTCCTATGAAGGACACTCCGTGTTTCACCAACCAGCCACACGTAATCAAACATTTTGAATCCAGATGGGGTCATATAAGGAGTTCTTTTCGCTTATCTCACTTGATTGCAAGACCTCGGCGAGTCATTGGGGAGGACTTGGGCTAACCTAGAAGGAAAATTCAAGAGAGAAGTTGGCTGCAGCAATCGGCAGACCGAGTCTTACCTGGTTCAGCTCCCTCAAACATGCTGGATAACAGATAATAGGGCATGTTGCAGCGATTATCTGCCATTTCCTGCCTGAAATACACAGTACAAGCACGAAGAACGGAGAAAGAAGAAGAAAGAAGCTTAGAAATTTGAAAGGAAACGAAAACACGAGGGCGGTTAGAAGGCAGCCCGACGCGCGTTGCGTTTGCGGCGCGGAGGTACATATGAGAACCTGGCCGGGGTCCACACTATATGCTAATTTCGATTCTACTTTCTATATCTGCAAAGCGCTTCTGGGAGGGTTATGGGGATTTTTTGAAGTAAAAATCTAAACTTGCGCCTACATTAAAATCATCCAGAACTGTAGTGAGCTCCAATTGGGTCACGATTACTGCCAGGACGCTTTATGCAATCGATATTTTTATACTATACTAGCTGGCTTACCCGCCTCCGCCGTATGTTCCGAAAAGAAAATTCCATTTCTTAACCGATCCGGACCAAACTTGGCACACATACACTTCGGGCCCCGGCGGGTGTCATAGGCTACTTTTCGTCATCGATCGACAACGAAAAGTGGACTGTGACACCCGCCGGGGCCCGAAGTGTATGTGTGCCAAGTTTGGTCCCGATCGGTTTAGAAATGGAATTTTCTATTCGGAACATACGTACAGACAGACAGACATACATACAGACAAACAGACATTCAGCTTTATATATAAGATTTATAACTCATGCTCATTACTCCTTTCAAGCGCCAGAAAGACCTCACTGTTTCTACCCTAGCCAAGCCCTTAAATTTACATATACTACAAGTTCCATCTCTGCTCCCAAAAGAGCTTTGCGGGTACAGAAAACAGATTTGGAATCGGCATTCAATGCTTTATGGAATAGTGTCTATTTCATATAAAAAACCACTTCGACCAAGTATCCTTCCCTTTTTAGAACTCATGTAATGTTGTCCATCACGAATAAATTAGAATCAACCACCTACTCCAAAAGGTTTTCCATGTTGAATCTGTAGCTTTGGACATGTATGGGTAAAATTCTTCTGTTTCTTAGGTAGGCCCTGACAAGCGAATAACCCAATCATCCTTACCACTTCTACGCATATAATTATCAGCTACAAATCTATAGCGATTAATTTTTTTGGCAGAAAACGCAACAAAGTAAAAACCAGCAATGTTCCACTCGATTATTCGAATTATTCGATTTCGAATATTCGACCATGTGTAATTGTTCGACTATTCGAATAGTCGAATTTTCGGTCAAATCCATTTATTCAAATATTCGTTCGTTAGAATTTTGAAATGTAATATTATTCGTATATTATCATAACGATATTCGAATTCGAATAAACTGAAAATCACAACTCGAATAATATTCGTTCTTTCGAATATTTTTCAAAAGCCGATTATTCGATGTTCGTTCGTTCGACGAAATTTTGCGGTCGTTTTAACTATCATAGTGGGCAATCGAATTAGTGTGATAAGTGACTCAGCTGTATGCGGAAGCCTACTACGGATTTCATCTTTCAGAACGCCGAAAGACGGTGATACCCTCTACGAAAAAGGTAGTGGCAAGTGCGAAAGCTGCTCTGCGGGAACCGTCTGCGACTCGACTACCCAGTTATGTGCAAGGGACGCCACGGCAAATCCCGACTTCCCCACAGGTAATATCATGCAGATTAAGTGAAGGTTCCTCAATAGCGGCGCAGAGGCAGGAAGGGTGCACCGCATAGATCCATGCAATCACTAAACAAAGTTGGTGACATACGAAACCGCTCGTAATTTGTGGACAAAATTGGCGGCGGCCGACGCCAACTTTTTTCACAAATTACAGCGGTATTGTAGTTTGAATACAAAGCTATGTCACATTTTGTGTTATCGTGTGCTATCGAGGCAGAAACAGCTAAAAGAGTGAAGCTTTTCTGATAAAAAAGCAATTTACAAGATGGCATTCAGACAATCACACCATATTAGATCCACGCGATGTTTGGAGCCAAAATTTAAAAAGTTCCAGAAGTCCGAAAAATGGGAAAGACGTATCCCCACCAAGAAACGACCCCCAACTTGCTCATACATTTATCCATATCACATATTCATATGCTTACCTGTTGTGTTTTATCCGGGCTAATGAAACAACGATTTTTTATGAGTTTGCCGAAGCAATGCTGACTGTTCCCATCCAAGTGAATCTATTAGTTCGTTTCATAACGTACATTTTATTTTTTGTCGCCGTTTTAAGATGAAGCGATTGGTTTATGGAAAAGTACCTGTGTCATTAAAAAGAGAAAATTCTGCTCTACAACAAATGTTGTTCGTTTTCGGAGCAAACCTAATTCCTCTCCCTTGACGACTTTCTGAAGCAAAATTTTTTGAGAGGCAAAAATTGGCGATTTCCGCACCTGCAACTTTCGATCCATATACGGAGTCACTGGGATTTTTTCATCTGAAGTTGTTATAAGTGATGAAAAACGACTGCATATGGGAGTACGGTGCATATAAAAGTAGTCTCCTTACATAAAGAGACGCTATAAAAAAGGATTAAGCGCACTTTTACCATTTGTGTAGATGTTTTGCGTTTGGTACAAATCAAAGAAGTTTCCACTCCAAAAAAAACTTTGAGAAAGTGTAAAAAGTTGGCCAGAGCTTGTACTCATACTTCTACACCACTTCGATGAACCCATTTATTTGTCAAGGCCCGATAGGAGGACCGACACATACTGTCGTTAAACAACGCGCAAAACTCAAGCGGCAGCAGTCAAAGACAACAACTATTGGGACCTTGTTCAAGCGGTTCTAAGCATATTGGTGCTGCAAATTTGTCAGTATACTAGTCTTGCTTGCTATTATCCAATCCGCCTACATATGACAACATCATTCTGCGGGATACGGACCAAATGCGAAAAGCGCAGTTGCTGAAATCGCCAATTTTTGGCTTTTAAAAAAACTTTACTTTGAGAGGTTATAAATCAAAGGGAATTAGGTTTGCTCCGAAAACGAACAACGGTTCTTGTACAGCAGAATTGGCTCTTTCGACGGTACAGATACTTTGACATAAAACAACCGCTTCATCGAGAAATGGTTACAAAAATAAAAAGTCTACGGAATTATGACACCTGGTATATCACTAACCATCGCGAGCACAAGCCTAGACTTTCAGCCTTATGCAAGAATCTTGTACCAATTCTTAGGCTAATTTCGTTATTTCTCCAGTACTTTATAGAAAACTAAATTATGGTTGTGCGTGCAATGGTTGGTAGCAGAGTCAAGCGTGTTGATGCGACCCGAGGCCCTCTTTTACGCCCCCCTACCCCTCCTTGAAGGTACCCATCCGTGCGAACCCCCCCCCCCCTAATTTCCAAGCTTTTGCGGTAACCTACATACAACGAATGTCAGATCACCAAAGAGCCCATAGACCACACCCAAAAATCATAAGAGGAAAATTTTGAAGACTTGGCTGCGCTGTATTGTGGTAGCGAAAGGATGGATGGAAAGGATTTCAACCGATGAAGGAAAACATCAATTTTAGTCTGATGTTAACACTTAATGTAACTTGTCTAGACGTTGAATTAATATAAACAGAAAATGGAATAAAATAATGAGTAGGAAGAATTCAGAAATACGGAGCAATTGATTTCAGTAGATATGACTGATTGTCTTGTAATAATTTATCTTTTAGCCAGAGGTAAGAAATTCTGCGATTTCCAAGTGCCTGGCACGACTCACTCATTTTGAATGACTGTACTGAAAGGCAGCATTCATTATGGTTCTAGAAAAAAACGCTTTACAGTATAGTGATAGTCCTGGGTTCGATCCGCGACACCATTTGCAGAAAGAAAAGATGCTATTGATAAAGCGTAAAAAAATTTATGCAACTGAAAGATGTATTTTCCACTTTTTGCATAAATTTTCCCGCAAACGAGACCGCTTTAGCACCTTCCAAAATGATTTTAAAAACGTGCTTGAGCTCGGTACTTCAAAAACGCCTTAAAGCCAAGAAAAGGCTGAGGCTGCAATAAGCAGGTTGTGTAATATCCAGACGGCTGGAGATAGAAGTTGCAGCCACTCAGGAGCGGTGAGCTCGAAAAAATTTGGATGCGACCCAGATACGACCCCTCTTTTCATTTTTTGTTGTCATACAGAAAATGTCAAGAAAATCCACAGGTTATAAAATAAGACCAAATTTTGCACAAATGTAGCAGAGCATCTCCAAAGTACAGGTAAATTGCATGGGCCGTGAAAAACACCCAAAAAGATATAAAATTTATCGAGTTATCGTTGGTAGGAATAAGCGCTTTTGTCGAGTGTGTGAGACTTCAGTGATGCTTCGAAAGCAGGACATCTGGGTCAATTGGTATATTCAACATCTTTGTCGCACACACATGCCGTCAATAATGTTTGAACTTATGAATTTTTTAGGTTTTCGGTCATACTTGTGGCCAGCAAGTTCGATCTCCGTCTGCGACACCTTTTTCGCCGGCACAAAAATGCTGATTCGACTGACCAGTAGTATGACCGAAAATGCAAACACTTTCAGAAACTCAAACACAAGAAATGTGTGTGACAAAAATGTTGAATGTACCAAATGGCCTAGAAATCCTGTACCGAAGAATCACTGAAGTCTCACACTTTCCACAAAAGCGCTTATTTCTACCAACGATAGCCATCGATAATTTTTAAATCTTCTTGTGATGTTTCTCATGGGCCATATTCACTTGTACTTTGGACATACTCCGATATATTTGTGCAAAATCTGGTCTTATCTACTTTCGACACTTTATTTATCCAGGATACCCTCTCTTACGATTCCACCCCCCCCCCCCCACATCAAGAGGCGCGATTTCTCCGGCTATCACCAACCCAAAGCTTCGGTTTAGTGCTATGCGTGTGTTCAAAAAGTACCAGATAAAATGCAGTAGCTTACTCTCTGTCTGAGGTTACCAATCACCAAGTTTGGTGGCTTTTGCTAAGAAACGGAACAAAATATTCCAATTTGTTCTTGGCTGCATTTTCAAGAGTTTTTGACCTTCAAAAGTGATGTTTTTAATTGACTCCAAGGTATTGAGATTAAACAACCCATGCAACTATCTAACATATCTCCTTCCAAATTTGAGATATTTTTTCAATGTTGTAAAACACTTATTATGCGCTATTCGGTGTCCATCTGGTAATAAAAACCGCGCCTCTTGACATAGACCCCCCCCCCACAGCAGGTGCCCTCTTTACGACTCCCCATTGCGACTCGCATCACACGGTTGACCCTGGGGTAGTGAAATTTAACTTGAGTGGGAACAGAACTGTTTGTCTGTGCAAAAGCACCAGATTTTGTTTCCTTAACTTCTAGGCAAGGAAGAACACAGCTGCCAATGGAGGAGCAAGGCCCTTCTAATTTTCTTGGGCGGAGATACGATTTTTCGGGCATTTGGAATGTTTTAGATTTCGCATGCTTACTTCATGTGGGACTTTTTTGTCCTCTTTTTCAAATACCATTTTGTAAATCTTCCTCTGCTATAAGAGTTGGTATCCGAACGCTTTTTTTTGTTCACGCTGTTGCAATAGTAAATGATGCACGCTCTCTCCCAGCCTTATGATTGTGCGTGCAGCTCACACGGAATGAACTCAGCGCAGTCGATTGCGATAAAAAGTGAAGATTTTCCTTTATACATCAAGAGTGATGTTCTCTCGATGGCTAACGGATTCAATGCTGTTGACGAGCTATACTTTGTCGAATATCCTCACATAAGTATGGAGATGGACAAGAAGTGCGATTTTCTGGCTGCCACCAACTCAGAGTCCAGTTTGGTGGTTCGCGACTTTTGAAAAGTACCAGGAAAAGTGCTTGGCTTACTATCTATTTGAAGTTACACTTGCTGAGTTTGATGGCTTCTGCAATTGACCAGAATAATTACGTATTTGCTATTTACAAGTACAGCACGTAAAACCGAACAGCTTCACGCGCAAACTTTTCATTGAAGAATTGGGTTAGATATGGTCTTATACCAAATAGTAACTAGAAACATTAAATTAGGCTCCCATCTTTCGCCTATAAAATGCATAGGTTTGACCTTATCATAGCACATAATATTGCATCTGATTACTTCGTCTTGGATTCCGGGCGTTTTTTCTTACTAGATCTAGCACCGCAGGAGGAAGTAGGAAATTGTTTACTAAATCAAGACACAAGGTTCGCAAATATTTTTTCACATGCCGTGCTAAAAATGAGACGAATAAGCCCATCAAAAAACGCTTATTTCCTGCAAGATTATCCACTATTAAGACAAATTTCGGACAAGACTTTTTTTGGACAACACACAATTTCAAGGCATCATCTACAGCCTGAATAATGATGTTTATAACACGGGTTTCACAGAAGTCTGCACTCTGTCGTGTTCCTGTTTTCTTTGTTTGTTAACTTTTCTTTGTTTTGCTCCGTAGTCAATTTCATAGGGTCATTCTATGCAGTAAATGAATTGGAAATGACAGTGACTTCATCTTCTTTTGACCCTCAACATTTTCATTTTGAATCGAATTCGAAGCAATAAAGCTGAACAACCATGCATCTACAGTACCTAATTTGTGAAAAAAAATGGCGGCGGCCGCCGAAGTTAGACGGTGACCACCGAAGTTAGGCAGCTGTCGCCGGCTGCCGCTGAAGGCAGTTTCGCATGCACCACCATATCTCGGTTCAGAGTGGACGAATTTGAATTCAAGGGCACCATTCGACACAGGAGGCGCATCTTCTGATAGGGGCATCACTGTTAACATATGGAAGGTATACGGTAAGTAGTCGCTTTTCACGAATCCCCCTAGATTTTGTTCAAATGGATTACTCAGTTGCTGATAACATATACATTAGCTTGCTACTGGCGGCACTTTGTATGGGTACGGCAGGAATACGGCAGGAACTCGCTTTGCGCAGATATGTTCAAAAACTTGTCTGGAGTGGCTATCTGATGCATTGATTACAAAAATTATGCGCCAGTCATTTGTAACTCAATATGTGAGCCTACAAGCTGCTCGCAGCAAGCAACGACCTTACTGGTGACTCGCCTGTAAGACCTCTTGCAGCGGAGCGAACAGTGGAGATATGCTATCTAACAGTATGTACTTAGGCTATTCTTTCGCGGTAAGGCTGAAATTGGGTGCGGGAAGTTTCTCACCCGAGCCATATTTTCGCACCTAAGTGATGTACCTGCCAGGCACATCTGGGCTCGCTACAATTACGAGCTCTTCAGGAGACCAAGACATCGCAAGCTCCGCCCCTTATCAAGTGTTGCACCAGATGATGAAACCGGAATTTCGAAGAAACTTTCGAAATCGAAGTTCAGAAGTGAATTTGCTCCAATCAAGACCAAATTTCGGATTCAGGGGTTTTCGAAGTTGCTCTTTTCATCAGTGATATTTGTTCTTGCAAAGCCAACGTTCAAACCGCTAACGCTTTACCAAGATCAGAATTCTGATTCATAGATTTTCGAAATTTGCTTTTCCAAATCAAAGCCAAAGTTCAGATTTAAGGGTTCTCAAAATGGCTTTTGAATTTAACTTATTCCAGATAAGAATAATTTTCACACACGTGCCAGTTCAAAGTTTGCTTCAATCTAATTTAATTCAACCATATTCTGGTATTCAGAACTAAATTTCGTACAAATCCGAATTTTGATCTCTGTTGGGCATTATCGGCACTGAACCTTGACTTTACAAGAAACAATTATCAGTACTGAAAAGAGCAGCCTCGAAAACCCCTGAATCCGAAATTTGGTCTTGATTGGAGCACATTCACTTCTGAACTTCGATTTCGAAAGTTTCTTCGAAATTCCGGTTTCATCTGGTGCAACACTGAATAAGGAGCGGGGCTTGCGATGTCTTAATCTTCTGAGGAACTCGTAATTATAGCGAGCCCAGATGTGCCTGGCAGGTACATCACTTAGGTGCGAGAATATGGCTCGGGTGAGAAACTTCCGCCCCCCCCCCCCCTGAAATTCTCTCAAAAAATGCTTGTTTCAAAGAGTTAGCGGTACGGAATCTGAAAGTCTGATTAAGAACATTGCCGCAATACGAGAAATAGCAAAGAAACACGAAAAAAATGAGAAAAAAGCTTGTGCAAGCGGTTGGCTGAGGGGCTGCGTCTGCCGCGCTCTGCCGCGGTCAGCTTGCTCCAGCTCGAATTCAGATTCGACCACCGACCGGCTAGTGGGGTGAGGACGACTATACCCTCGCGAAAACACGCCCACAAAAAATATGCTTACTATGTACAGCTATTCCACATGTGCTATGGATCAAAACTAATTGACCTTTTACAGGATGACATCGTGAAAAAATCAACTACTCTTCTTTGAGCGAGCATGAAAGCAGCGTTGGAAACAAACCCGAGTAAATTGACATCACTTCATTTCCTATAGTATCTCTGCACTGTGCCATTAGTGCAAATGAATGTACCATAGGGTCTTTGTAACTCAATACGCGTAATGCACATCAAGCGTGCTACTTCGCTCCATTCAAGAACAAAAACTATCATTCTTGGAGTTACTCCCTGTTTTTTTAGCCTCTTTTGATTTCATTTGTTAGATAGCATATCTCCACTGTTTGTTCCGCTGCAAGAGGCCTTACTGGCAAGTCACCAGTAAAGTGTCGTTGCTTGCGGCGACCAGCGTGCAGGCTTACATATTGAGTTACAAATGACTTGCGCATAATTTTTGTAATCATTGCATCAAGTAGCCACTTCAGGCAAGTTTTTGACCATATCTGTGTAAAGCGAGTTTTTGCCGTGTTTCTGCAGCACCCGTACAAATGCCGCCAGCAGCAACTAACGTATATGTTATCAGCACACTAAGTAATCCATCTAAACAAAAATCCAGGGGGATTCATGAAAAGCGTATACCTACCGTATGCTAACAGTGACGCCCCTATGTATCAGAAGATGTGCCTCGCCGCGCTGTGTCGAATGGTGCCCTTAGGTTCAAATTTGTCCACTCTGAACCGAGATAATGGTGATGCATGCGGAACTGTCTTCAGCGGCGGCCGGCGGCGGCTGCCTAACTTCGGTGCTCATTGCCTGACTTCGGCGGCCGCCGCCAATTCTTTTCACAAAATACGAGCGATGTTGTATCCAATATGTATCTGAATTGTAAAATAGATCGTTATAAAACATTAAGTATGTATTTGCTGCAACAAAAATCGCGACTTTCGACATACACCCATGAATACATGTAAGTGAGGTCGAACAATGCTTTCATACCACATACCCAGCCGAAGGCAAAGATCATCTGGCCAGCATTTCATTCCTCATTGCCGTTTTTGATAGCAGCCCTATGAATAACAAAACAATATAGGTATTATATAGGTGCTAACACAAAATGCCCAAAGAATGCAGAAATGACCGATGAACTTAGAATGAATTATATGGACATGCACAACTACCGCAGGTGACTGTAGCCAAATACTGTTTTACTGCCTTCTTTTTCTCAAGTCTAGTATGGTTCAGAAAACTCCTTGCGAACGGGGAAGTCGCTAAAAACAATGGAAATCTTTTTCCAAAAGCTGCAAACATGATGAAATTGGTGAGTTAATCTGCTTGACAGGAAGAGGCGCATCCATTTAGGAACTGGATTGCGACTTAGAAGCCGATGCTATTGCTTATGCTGGTACTTGCCCAAAGGATGTTTCACATATCAACAGGGTTGATGTAGGGGAACACTATCATCGTGTTCCTGTTTCGAGTGCTCCGACGCCTCGAGATGCCCTAAAAAGCGTAAAATCTGTACCTTTCTTGCAAGTATGAACAAGCATGGTTTGCTTTTGAGGCTGTCACCAACTGGTGGAAGGTTGTCCGTTCCCACCCCGGTCCTGGAGTGAAGGAAGTGACTTTTCGAGATAAATACATTGGTCAACCTATAGAAACGTTTACGCAGGTCAGGAACCTTTGCATATCGTATGCAAGACCTCTTGACTAACTTAAGTTCGCTATTTTATAACGAATTTTTCAGATGGGATGGGCCGCAACATCAAAACTGGGTTGCTCAGTAGTAAAGTGTTCTTCAGATTATGTGGTTATCTGTCGCTACTCTCCAAAGTATGTTTTGTAACTTTTCAGTGCAGTTGTATATCAAGAGATTCAGGGGAAATATCGATGAGCAAAAGCTTTACATCCCTGGAACGCCATGTTCGAAGTGTCCAGGGAAATGCTACAGCGATCTGGGACTGTGCAAATGAGAACTAACGATAATCATACCTTTCACACCTATCTGATTGTGAGCATATGGCAAGCCTTATAAACACGTGCAAAACTTGAACGCTATAAAATTTCAGCAAAGCTTTTTGCTTGCTTAAGTCGCAAAAGTCGCTTTAGTTTTGGCCTGCTGCAGAAATGAAGTTTCTTCGAAGTGATCGCTTTATGAAGTACATACAAAGCGCTGATGCAGAACAATTCTTTATAAATAGCTTCCGATCAACACTTGTTTCCAGCTTGCTTCATGCTCTGCTCTTTCTCTAACGCTGGGAATGCTTGTTTAGTATAGTACATATATACAGATATAGTTCGCCTCCATGTATAGTGATATATGGGAGGTGGAAAATATCTGTGTGTATGCTTTTGCTCGTCATCCTCTGAAACTTCCAAGGCTTCCTTTTCCTCCAATTAAAGCTTTGTAGGATTTATTTCATGGATTTATTTTTCAAATTGGGTATAAAGCTTGTTATCGAATTTAGCAAATAAACATGAAACTCAAAAGTAATCTCTCTTTATCAGTCAATAATTTACATAGTTAAACTGCGGAAATGTCGGGATTTTTCGAATGGTACTCTTTAAACAATCTTCTTCGGATCAGGAATTCTATGCAGCTTTTGCAAAGATAGACGTTCTCCGAACTAAATTTCAGAGTGGCGCCTAAAGATTCGCACAGATTGTGTTCCACGTTGTTTAAAGGCGAGCTCTAAAAACTTTCAATAGCTCAAAAAGCAAATAAAATTAGAACTATGCTCAAAAAATTCTAGGAATTTACTTGTTCACACATATACTTCATCTGATATTTTCAGGCACTCTTGCCGTATTTTTTCCAGGACTGGGAGGTGAAAAACAGAAATTTGTAGGCCAAAAATACACGATTGTCACTGTTGATGATTTATCTATCATCAATCTCAACAATTCTATAATCCTAATAGCTTACGGGTTTTCCCCATAGGCTATATTCCCCAACCGCTTATATTTAAGTGCCGAATCACTCACCAATGAGTGACACCTATCTTCCAGGGGTGCGTGGCGTTAGGTACCCAGCCGAGGTGCGGGCGTTAGGTACCCAGCCATAAGTGGTATACACTAAGCCACGCCCCTCAGTTGCTTTAACTGCGGGTACCTAACGATACACCAAATCCTAGCTGCTAGAACAGCTCACCTAGCTCGCTAAAGCGCTGGCGCTCGCGACTCACAGAAAAATGATAGTTCGAGAAAATCAAAAAAAAATTGCGCGAATAAAAGCCTAAGTTAACAACGCTTTTTCTAATGCTTCTTTTTTCAAATCTATTTCAAAACCACAGAAAGTCGGTGCTGAAAATGAAAAACACAGTAAAATTTTTATGAGCACTTCACATGATTTTGCAAAAAAAAATACGTGATGATCTGAACTGGTAATGTTAGCGGGAATATCATAAAAATAAACTTTGTAGGATAGCAATAAATCAAAATTTACTAATTTTGATGAAGCAAAGCGCACTTTCGGATGCGCTTCTGGCAAATAAGTTGCACGAAATATCCCCTTCACATATTGTCGTCAGGCTCGTTTTGAGGCGTAAAGACAAGGGTCGTAGTACTTGCGTTAATATTGCCACAGGGATTGTGCTACGTTATCGTAGATTATTAAGGCTATTACTTCGGTCATAGTTAAGGCCAACAGATTTATGGGACACTAGCTGGCATACCCGGCTCCGCCGTATGTTCCGAATAGAAAATTCCATTTCTTAACCGATCCGAACCAAACTTGGCACACATACACTTCGGGCCCCAGCGGGTGTCACAGTCCACTAAGTAGAGCCTATGACACCCGCCGGGGCCCGAAGTGTATGTGTGCCAAGTTTGGTCCCAATCGGTTCAGAAATGGAATTTTCTATTCGGAACATACGTACATACATACAGACATACAAACAGACATTCAGCTTTATATATAAGATTACATTGATAAGCATACATTTTTCTTCATTTTGGAAGATTTCATATCCCGTATGAAAATTCCACTGAGCTACTGTATTTTATTGTACCTATGCTCTTTGCAGTGCTTCTTTGAAGGACCTTCATATTGCAATTGTTTCATATTCATTGTCTTTTCTAGCAGCCAAAATATGCTCAGTTTATCCAACCAAAGCTATAAATTTTTTGTGACTCACTAAAAAGCGGAAGTTTTGTCAGTAGCTCTCAGTAGAGTTGCTGCTTTTTCCTGTTTCCTATAGCACACACTCATCCGAAATTGGCTAGCTCTGTAACTGTAATGTAAAATTCTCATTGATTGGAACAGAGCCCTTCCCATATTAATGGATGACATAGTCCTCCATAAAATTCCGATTTCTGATGAGGCGGTCGGGCAGGAGGCAGCAAAGGCCAGCGACTTCTGCTTATGGAAGTACCTGAGGAGTTTCGGAGTTCCTCGCGCTTCTAATTACTTCTTCGCACCTCTAATCTTGATATGACCTATGCCTTGTTATTCGTAGACTTTTAGGGTTTAAGTTCAATAGCCAAAGAGATAGTACGTTTCAAAAAGGTTCATAAAACTAGGCTGATTCAACATCAAGGACGGTATAAAAATTGATTGAGTAGATGTGAAAGTATAACTTTGTGCATCAAGTTTTCAAGCCGGAATGTTGCACATGCTCTTGTAAATCTATTAGGCTGGAAACTAAGTTTTGCAACTGGTTTCATAACTTCACTCTCTTTGGATATGGCGCACTCAAACTTTGGCATTTTGTAGAAGGCAATGTGAGCTACAAGTGAGCACAAATTGTCTAGATTTTGAACACGAAATAGAAAAGTTTCAGGCGTTTTTCGAAAACCAGTGAAATTTGAGAATTTTTGGGGTTTCAAGCTAAAATGAAGCCTTTGACAGCCTAGATCATGCGCAGTAATCCAGATTCGTCTACAAATTATTGCTGGAGATTGACTACTTTAGCCTAGTAAGAAAGAAACAAAATTTAGGGGCATGTCGAGATTTGGCGTCCTCATAAAATCGAACGAGTAGATGTACGCAAGAGCTGCTGGGCACGACCGCCAATGACTAAAGAGTCCAAAGCTCAAATTCCGCCGAGACTTTACATAGTAAGGTTATTTGACCTGCCAAATGCGAATATCACATTCATTTGTTGAATCAACGCCTTTTTTCTTGTTTAGGGTGGGACCTCATATCGTACACGTAGAGTAATCTTACAAAAAAGCCCTTATCACGCAATTTTACTATCATTTTCGTGATCAGCATGTCGGATAACACCCCTATACCAAGTTTCAGCCAAATCCGTCAAACTTTGAATTTTTCCCCTTCATACCATGCACCTACCGTAATTGTCACTGCGACGTCAGAATTTGGTAGGACAGCAGCTGCGCTTGTACCTTACATAATAACCAACGCAGCGGCAAAATTTGAGTGTGCCACGTTGAGTGAGAGGGAAGTTATGAGACCAGTTGCAAAACTTAGTTTCCAGCCTAATATTTCGTCCCAATAATTCCGATTGAAAGTATGTGAAAGACTGATAGCCACGTTCATTATTTTGCGACAGTCTTAGTCCTTCTACTCCACAAATTCTGAAGTAAACTGCCCTAAACCCGATGTTCTGTAGGCTGAAACCGATTATAGCTGAGGCTGAAAACTGCAGAATTTTCTGGCCTAAAGTGAAAGATTCTTCAAGAAAATTTTCCTCTGATTCTTATGCTGGTGAAGCAAACAAAAGTGCGAAGAATGGTTAGAGGCGCGAGAAAGTCTGGAGCTCCCCGGGCACTTCCAGAAGCAAATGCGACCAGCCTTTGCTGACGTCTTTCTGATGACAAAATCTCTTTGAAGCTCTTCCTGCAATCGGTTCCAATTCTCATTGTTAAAAATGTTTTTTTGAAACAAAGGAATACCCGTGCAACTTATTTGCCAGAAGCGCATCCGAAATTGCGCTTTGCTTCAGTAAAATCATGATTTGATTTATTGGTACTCTACAAAGTTTACTTTTATGATATTTCCCGCTAACATTTTCGGCTCAAATCATCAAACAGATCATCAAGATTTTTTTTGCAAAACTTTGTGAAGTGCTCATAAAAATACCCTGTTCCAATTTTCAGCATTGCGCCTCACTCGCGTTTTTTTTGATTTTCTCGAACTATCAATTTCCTGTGGGTCGCGAGCGCCAGCGCTTTAGCGAGCTATGTGAGCTGTTCTAGCAGCTAGGATTTGGTGTATCGTTAGGTACCCGCTGTTGGAGCAACCAAGGGGCGTGGCTTAGTGTTTACCACTAATGGCTGGGTACCTAACCCCGCACCTTGGCTGGGTACCTAACGCCCACCCCCCATCTTCCAGGGGCCGCGCCAAGCCGCGGCATCCTCTTTCTTGCATATATTTCCTGGACATTCCGATTGTGCACGGGTCAGCTCCGCCTTACTACCTATATAAGGAGCCCCCAATTGTATTATAGGTTGCTCTCCCCGGTCCAAAACCGGGTTCGTCTGTGGATAAATTATCATCGACACCACTATCGCCTACGACACTTGGTTCCCACCAAATTGGTGCATCGACCAGTGAAACCACCTTGTATTCCATCTGCAACCGGAGGAATCGAGGCCACAAGACCCGCGTGGCAGGAAGAAGAACCAACCGACTATCTGAAAATCTTTGTGTATCCTTTTCGTAAGCGATCCAAAGAGGTGCAAGAGAAATCGGAAGGAAAACCACTGACTATCTGAAAATCTCTGTGCATTCTTTTCGTAAGTGATCCAGAGAGGTGTAGAAAAAATCAGTCGGTCGTGTGAACTATTCTTAAAAACTCTCTGTGCATCCTTTTCGTAAGCGAACCAGAGAGTGGGAAAGAATCAGTGTTACCACACAACCACAGACAACTTGGAAACTTTATGTGCATCCTTTTTGTAAGTGATCCAGAAAGTGAAAGAGTAGTCAAGTGGAGCACATAATCGCACTAATACGTGAAACTTTCTGTGTATCCTTTCCATAAGCGATCCAGAGAGTAGAACAAATTTTGTGAGTGCAGC